TTTCCTAAACTTAAACGTCTGTATTTTCTAGCCACTTTGACGGCCTTATAGGCACTTTAGGACACAAAACCAAGGCCCTAGCCCTATTTCCCTTCCTAGCCGCACCTTTATATTTATGTTTTAATTTCCTAATTTCGTAAGCCTTTGAATTTATTTTCGTTAATAAAAATAAGCTAGGAACCAAACATATTTAAAACCCTAGGTTTTACATACTTAGCCGCACCTTTCCCATTATTCCACCCTAATTTCATTCTAATCCGTAGCACCCATTCATGCCATTTTATTATTCATCCTAATAAACCAAAAAGGTTTGATTCCGTAGCCACCATCCCATATTAAAATTCCCACCTTTGCCGCAAATCCCATTTTCTTTTTTTTACTCCATTCTTTCCCATTATTAAACCCTTTTTTATATCCCACTCATTCCATATTTTTAATGAGCCACCATAACCTAATCATTCAGCCATTATCCCATTTTTCACAAACTAGCCGCAAATCCCATTTTTGGGTCCTTAAGCCGTAGCCACCATTTTTCATATTTTTTTCTTTTTCTGCCGTGAATACCATCACAGACTCTCCCATTATTCAACTTGAAGCCGTCATCCCACTTAATTTCTGACCTAGGCCGTGCATCCCATAATTCACCCTAACAGCCGCATTTTTGTTCAAAAAAACCGTGCAGCCATTCCACATATTTTCTAAAACAGCCGCAAGCCATCTCCCAGATTTTCCAACCTGCCGCAGCCTTCCTCCATTATTCCAGCCACCATACCAACCTTCCTCCATCACTCCACCACCTTGCCGCACCACCACACTTCCCTAAACCCATTCCTAAACCAGAAAATCACCCAAAAACACAATAAACCTTCTCTGCCGCAGCAAGAAGAAAGGAGGAAGAGGACTTAGACGCGCAGAAATTCAAGTGGATTCGTTGGGCGTTCTAGGTGTAATCCATCCTTTGTTCTTTATGTTTAAATTCAATTTTATTTTTCTTGTTGTGAATATGAGAGGCTAAATCCCCCTAGTTAGCTAGGGGGTGATTCGAAACCATGTTTATGCTTGCAATATGAATTGATTATATTTGGTTGGAATTTCATAAGTTGTGGATTCAATTTGTTTAACTGCTTGATCGATAACTTATTTATGTATGTTGATTGAGAGTGCACGCTTAATTTTCATGCATGAATATGACGCTAGAATATAAGTGAATTTCACCTAATAGTTATGAACTTATTTTCACAAGTAGTGGAGGTTGCTTATAAACAATCGCGTTAAATAAATTCTTGACATAAGTTTCATGCAATCATAGTAACGAATGCCTCGTCAATACTTATAGTTTTCAATGTGCTTAATGATTCTTGCTTGTATCTCTATTATGCAATTCATGTAGGGAACTTGTGGGGAATGCTTTGGGTTGTCGTATGCAATCATCCAATTCATTAAATTAAGGAAAACTTGACGGTTAATTTAAGCGGACCTAATTAACCCGGGGTGTTGAGTTTCATAATTCATCGAAAGACCAACTGAAAATCAAAGTGTATGCAAGTGTGACATGTGTGGAGAAGAACCTTCTAGCTAGCATTCATTCCATATTTCATCACATTCATATTTAAATTCTGCCTTTAAATTACAATTTGTGCATTTAATTTATTTTCGTCAAAACCACAATCCCCCTTTACCTTAGTGTCTAATTTAGTTAAAAAGTGTCTTAATTTGTGTTTATAAGTGTTTTGTATTCTTCGAGTCTTTTGATTTGTTTTAGTATTTTATTGTTTGGTTTTACATTCTTTGAGTCTAGTTTAGTGTTTTTAACGTTTGTTTTACGTTTTTGAGTCAGTTTCCAAGTGATTTAGTAATCCCTCCTAATCCCCGGTCTAGAACGATCCCTACTTGCATCTTTACTACAATTGTCACAAGAGGGTTTTAATTTGTGTGCTACTTAGTTTGCATCACCTGGTCCATCCACGTCTGGATATTCGGAGTGCGTAGTTTACCCTCTCCCAGAGGGAAAGCAAGGTTGGTCCCCGGGGGGTACAATTTCTAAATAAGTCCTTGATTGGGTGCGATCTTCAATAAGAGCAGGAATAGACAGTTGTTGCAGATTCGCGATCAAGCCAAATGATGAATAACTTCAAGAATCTTTATTGAAAAATAAGAGGAAGGATATCGAACTTAGCTGAAAGGTAGAAACTGCATAATAACTAGATAATCATCGGCTTGCAAGGTAGAGCTCATCATGCATAGTACTTCCTTGTCTTTGTCGTTCATGGTGGTGAAGGTTTAGCTACCCTTATCGCCTGCTCTGCTGACTTTGTATGGACCTTCCCATATAGGATTTATCTTTTTGGAGCATTCTCTTCGGGCAGCGATGAATGTTTTTCTTAGGACTTGATCTTTCAGCTGAAACTGTCAAATCTTTGCCTTTTTGTTGTAGCTGGAAAGGAGCTGCTGCCGGTAGGCTGTAATGCGAGTGATAACCTTCTCGCATTCCTTCTCTACCAGATCTAGATTTGTGGCCATCTCCTTTCTGTTCTACTCCAAAGTTGGCAATATGTTGTTGATGCTCAACACAATAACTTATGCAATATGCCCATAGGACACCGAGACGTTCGTTTGGCCACTTTCCCTGCTTGTCTGTGAAGGATTTCTTAAAGTAGTCCAGGATTGCCTTGTTTGATGCATCTGTCTGCCCGTTGCCTTGGGGATATCTAAGCGTAGACATATGCTGCTTGATGCCATATTTCTGGAAGAACTCGCTAAGTATTTTCCCACGAATTGCAGGCCATTGTCAATGATGATAGATTATTAGATGCCAAATTGACAGATAATGTTCTTTCATATAAAGTGCTCTATGTCTGACTGAGTAGTGGTGGTCATGGGCTCGGCTTCTACCTACTTAGTGAAGTAGTCGGTAGCCACGATCATCATGCCCCTGCCCTCAGTAGCAGGTGGCATGGGCCATACCAGGTAAATTGCCTACTGCATTAATGGTTATGGGCTTGAATGCAAGTGGAGCTCGCTGGCAGGCAATGCAGGTAAAGGCTTAAAGTGTTGGCAGCTGTCACACTTTTGAACAAATTCTTTAGCGTCTTGATGCACAGTGGGCCAGTAGTAGCCGGTGTTGAAGACCTTCTATGCTAAAGATAGGTATCCTGAGTGGTTTCCACAAACTCCTTCGTGGATCAGGCTCAAAACTTTTAAATCGTCAAGAGACGCTAAGCAGCGGAGATGTGGGCTTGAAAATGACCTTCAGATGAGAATGTCGTTCCACATATAATATCATACCGCCTTCATGTGCAGCTTCCTAGTTTTTAATCTTTCTGCAAGGAGTGTCTCATTGACTAGGTTGTCGATGATGGGATCTTGCCAGCTTGGGGTTGTATTGACTTGTAACACCTCGGCTGATGGTTCTTCATTTATACTTAGCTTTCCTAATACTCGATAGGGACGGAGCGTTTGAACTGGTAGTCCAAAGCGGAGCCTAAGGCTGCAACATGAGCGTTATCTGCCTGTGGCACCTGTGTAAGGGTGTAAGTCTAAAACGCCTCAAGCTTCATTCGTACTTTCTCAAGGTATAGTGTCATCCTTGGATGCTTTGCTGCATACTCCCTACTGGTCTAGCTAGTGATGAGCTGAGAATCAGAATGAATTGCAAGCTTCTTGACTGTCAAATGTTATGCCATTTGGAGGCTTGCCAATAAGGCCTTATACTTTGCTTCGTTGTTTGATACCTTGAAACCTAGAATGATTGCTGGCTCAAGCATCGAGCTGTCTAGGGTGACGACAACAAGCTTGCTCCATGAACCTTGTAGCTAGATGAACTGTTGACATGCAAACGCCAAAAGTCTTTATCTGCAAGGGTTAGTAGGGCCAGGGTGTGCTCGGCTGCTTCGGGGGTGCCTTTGGGCTGTGTTGTTGCGTCTTCTAGGCTAGGAGTAAACTCCGGCTTGAAGTATACCAAAGCCTGAACTTTTATCATCGTGAAGGGTCAGTAAACCAAGTTGTATTGGTCAAGTTCCAATGCCCACTTCATCACTCGTTCAGAAGCATCCGAACCATGTAGGATAGATTGTATAGAATATTGAGTCATGACGACAACCGTATGTACCTGAAAGTATGGTCTGAGCTTTCGAGCTGCAACAATTAGCACCAAAATTAGCTTTTAAATCTTTGAGTATCTTTTTTCCGCATCAATGAGAGCTTTAGAAGTGTAGAATACTGGTAGTTGGGCCCCAAGCTCTTCTTGTATGAGGGTAAAGCTTACTGCTATGTCTAAGACTGCCAAGTAAATGTATAATTCCTCGGTTGTTTCTAGCTTGGATAGTAGCAGAAATGATGTCAAATATCTCTTCAAGTCTTAAAATGCTTTCTCGTACTCGTCATCCCACTTGTCTCTTTGCACCTTCTTAATGGCCTTGAAAAAGGGCTTGTATCAATCGGTTGAGCGCGAGAGGAAATGGTTAAGTGCAGCTCGGCTCAGTCGTGAGTTGATTTTAGCTGTCTTCGTCGGATTCTCGGGATCAAGAATGATGTATTCAACATCCTCTTATGGCTTCCATCCTTTTTCTTTTCTCGGCGTGTCCTTCTGAATGCCATCATCTTAATCCGCCTGCTTGCTTGTCCTTCTTAACCTCAGTAGCTCCTACGAGGGAAAAAGATTTCTTCTTTGACTTCTTCAGCATTTGCACCGTGCATCGTCGAGATGTGGCTTGGTTAGACTTAATCTCTCCGACTCTTCCCCCTGGGATGCAGAATCGAATTTTCTGGTACTTGACGAAGGTTACAACGCCCAGTTTCACTAGCCAGGGCCTTCATAAAATCTCGTTATAAAGAGACAGGTCGCTGATTATGATGAACGTCTGCTTTGAGACTACTGGTGGTGTTCTCACATCAATTGTTATATTGCCAATAGCAGATAAGGTGTATCCATTGAATCTAGTAAGTACATCTGCTCAGCGTATTATCTTGTTTTCCAGGCCTATCTTTTGAATGACAGATAGCTAAAATAGATTTACTATGTTGCTGTTGTCCACCATCACTCTATCAACTATAATGTGTGCCAATTGAAAGGACACTACCAGTGCATTATCGTGTGGGAAGTCAACTCCCTCAGCATCCTGCTCGGTGAAACCAACGATGGGTCCAAGTTTAACATCGGCTTGCTGGATCTGCCTCTTCTTAGAGTTGTTTATAGCCCCCAAGTATTCGGACTCGGTGAAGATGCTGTTAATTCTGATAGTCTTGGCAGATGGCTCCTCGTCTGTGTCCGTATTCTTCCTAGGCTGCGCAGCTGGCTTGTCCAGGTATCTGTCGCATTTACCCTCTTTCATCAGCTTCTCTAGGTAGTCCCTCCAGGTATAACAAGTGTCAGTCATGTGAATAGGACCTCTGTGAAACGCGCAGTACTTGGTGTGATCCAACTTGGAGATGTCTCCTTTGGATGGTCTTGGCAGCTTGAACCAAGGCTCAATTTTGAGGTGCGAAAAGCTCATGGAAACTTTGGATAGACTGTCGAGGCAGGGTATGGAACCAATCATGCCCTTTACCCTGCAAAGCAGTGGTGAATATCTTGCACATTAAGGTGTCGTTGACCCTATAGAGGATCATCGCACTACAGTAGTGCTTCAAGTACCTTTCCAAGTCTCTATCTCTCTTGAATAGGTGAAATGTGGTGTATTGAACTTATGCGGGGTTCCGTCTACTTGATTTCATCCATGAAAGGTGATTTGCCTATGTGTGCCACGTCTCTGCGAAGGGCTTCACCTATAGTCTTAATACGTTGGAATCTGCTCAATCGCTAAGTCATGAGCCTCTCTACTTCTTCTTGAATTTACCTCTGTCTAGGTAGCGAGGCTTCTAGTTGCCCTCGATCATGACCTACTAGTCTCAACTGCTCTTCCCTATGCTCGGCTCGTCTCGTCTATATCGCAACTGTTGTGCATGTAGTACGTTTCTGGCAGGCGAGCAAATTACTCGTAGGTTGCCGGTTGAACTTAAGTCGGATTGTGCGACTGCTTCTCCTCGTCCGCCGTGCTACCTACTCCTATGTGAGGTGGATGATGCTCCTTGCGAGCCTAGCCACGTATGAACACTTCGCCTAAAAGGTTGTCCATGTTGATTATTGGAGTGTGACCCCAACCGTGAATGTATGTTCGTCCGGTAGCTTAACCAAGAGTGCACACTCCTCTACGTGCTAAGACGAGATTCTACACTATCTCAAGGGCCTAGGTGGAAGTGTAGTGTACACTGCTAGAACACTCAATTCGTGGTTGGTTGAGTGGCTGCTTGCTGGGACGCCATTGGAAAGAAATGTCATCACTTTCCCTTGTCTTACTTCTAAACACCTCGTCCCGGGCACGCTACATCTCGGTGCACTGTAGGAGCTAACTCACCAAGGTAGTTTGCTGCACGAGGGTGCTTGTCAATTCAACAACCTATTGGGATAGGTATTGTTCACCATTTAGAGTGAAAGAGTTAGGACAGTAAACGTTTACTTAAGTTGTGGAAGTGTAATGGACTCCGAGTGCAAAGCTTGAGCCATGATGGGTTAGATCTTCAGTAAGGTAGGATGAAAATATCTTTGGTTCAACTGTCAGCCTTGGGATCTGGATCTGGTCTAGTTGAACTATTCTGGGACCATGTTGGACATTCTGGAAAGTTACGAGAGCAGGTTGGGCGCATGGGCATTAGGCCACCTTGGTTGGCATAGCTTGGGCTCCCTTGGTCTAGGCAACTCGTGTCCAAGTGAAGGTGGCAGGTGCCAAAAGCTGCTACCGATGGCGAGCAGCCACTTAGGTTGACGTCTGCTAGCTGCTTGCGTCTGCTAGCTGCTTGCGTCGTGGGCCTCCTACCCTAGGATTTCCTTTCCTTAAATGGAGGCTGCCCCGTGGGCTACTACAGTGGCAGTTGCCGCTGTTGGCATGGCCACGATACCTCATGATGGCAAAGGTGCGATCTTTGTTGTGGTGAGCCGCGACGAGCGACAACGTGGAACCACGTCATGATTTCCATCGTTTGGTCCATATCCTTCCATGTAGAAGGTCTCATTAGTTGTAGTTTCTAAATTTCCTGCCATTGTAGTCGTGGATCTACGAACAAATGAAGTTGAAAGCGAAAGTCTTCTTCGAGTCTTCAAATCAAAGCTCTTAATGAAAGTACCAATCTGTGGATGCAAATTTCTGCATTTCCTTGATTAACGAATTTGCACCTGCAAAATAATAACACCTAAGATTATGGCCAAAAGCCTCACACGCCCATGATGAATGGAGAGGGCTTTGGCCAAAGAATCTCCGATGTCAAAGTTAGAATTCTATAAAGAATATGTTTGAGTGTTTGTGGGAAGCAAAAAGCCTCTTTATGGGTGGCTAAATCTTACTGAATTTTGGAGATAAATGGAGTATTTGTAAGAGAAAAAGAGGAGATGGGTCAGCCCTCTAGGGTTTACGGCTGGTCGGCCTTATGTGGTATTTTAGGTGAGAATATTCCAAGATATTTGTATAAATAAATAACTTGGAGTAATTATAGTTAAATATCCTAAATAAATGGAATTAGGATAACTTACTTGAAAGATGTCTTCTCTGATTAGAATGTATTTATGATAAGAATAAGGGATTATTCTATCATAAATACCTTTGACTTTTCCTACGGGCAGGGGTGCCTTGAGCAGTCATTGATCTCTGATTGCTCTACCTTAGGTGCGCGTGGTGAATGTGGCTACTCCCTGCTCATTTAATAGGGGCAATTTTGTCTTTCTTGTGAAATAATCCACATGTTAGCTCCATGATTTTTAGGATTATTTTTTGCTCCACAATGTATCTTTAATTTTAACACTCAAAATTCTTTAAAGACAGTTGTTATGCAAGTACCAATCATTTACAAGTACAATATATATTGCACTAACCCGTTCCTTTCACTTTCTCCAATCAAAGAAAAGAAAAAGGATAATATTAGGGAGATTAAATTTTTAGACAAAATTTGAAACTAAATAATGTGTCATCAATACAAATGAGTAAGTTTATTAACACTTAAGTAATAAATCAATCATCAACTTTCATGTCCTTTAGTTTCCAAAATTTAGTCTGCAAATTAAGTCTCTCTAGCATTACCCAAGAAAAAGGGTAAAACAAGGGAGACCATAATTTTAAATCAAATTTGCAAACCAAATTATGTGTCACATATGCACATTAATGAACGCTTAAGTAATAATCCAATCATCAACACAACCACATCATTTAGTTTGGTCTCCCTACATTATCAAAAGAAAAAACTTTTATCCATTCAACTCAATGCACTTTAATTATCTCGTGTTTATCACAAGGGCTTCAAGACACTTCATTGCACACTTTTGCATATCACCACAACCAGAGACTTTTCAGTGTGCCAGAAACATTTTGGAATACCAATTATCGTAATACAAGTAATTGGTCGCTTGAAAAAAATTCCACTTCCATTATGACACTTAATGTACAGGATCATGATTCTTTTTTTTTTTTTTTTGGGAGACCTCGACATTACAAGAGAATTTTATTGATATGAAAAAAAGAAGTTATACCTAGTTAAGAAGGACATAACCCTTTTCCCTTATAAAGAGGTGGGACATAAATCTTATTCTTCTTGAAAAGGAAAATACAAGAAAAAGAGAGGAGACATAAATCTTATCCCTCTTGGAAAAGAAAATACAAGAAAAAGAAGGGAGGCATAGAACCAAACCCTTCCAAAATAATTCCTGTTTTTTTTTCTTTTTAAATGAATCTTCAGACCCTCTAAAACAAATGGGCCCCTTCTCCCAAACTGGGACTCCTTTTCACCACATTTCTTCCTTCTGCACGAGCCACTGCAAGAATCATGTTCACTGCATCTCCAACTCCAACAAGAACTTCCGCACCTCTATTCACATTTTCTTCATATGTGTTTTCTACAAACAAGAAGTGTGCACATTTCCCTTTCAAAGCCCTTGAAATTTAGGCACGAAGCGCATTCTGAGGCTGATCGTCTGGATTCACCAGGCACCCATATATTAATTTGTTGAAAACAACTCTTTTGCCTATTTGTATTTCTACAATCATACTTACCAATATGCAAATGACTGAACAGGACAGGCATGACGACTTTGCTTAAGAACGGAATGTTACCCCGCTCAAACCCAGGAACTAAACTCAAGTCATTGATCATTCCCGCAATCCAATTTCTAATGAATCAAGATAACATTTTGTTCCGATATAAATAGTCAGTATCTGTTCTTCCACTGAAAGCAGGGATGATTGAGATAATTTAAGCAACTCATGGCTATGCACTTCTTTTAAGCTAACCTTCCTTCTTCACCAATCAGTTAATATTCTAAAAGAGAAAGATTGATTGAATTATCAAAAATTTGGAACGTGAAGTTCAATTAGATCCACTTTTTCGGGAAGGTATAGGGATTAATATAATCAATTAGAATAATTTATGATTCGCTTGGCTAGGCCAATAAAATGAAGTTTCAATGCTCCGTTTAAAAAAAAAGGATAATAAATCTATTTATTATTACTATTTTTCTTTTTCAATTACTCCCGATGAAATATAAAATAGAGTAGAATATTGGATGTTTCTCTATTTGTCAATCTTTATGACTTGCTACTACAGAACCACGGTAAAAAAGATCGAGAAAAATCAGTCATTCACAACCACTAGTGAAGGATTCCTTTTCTTTGTTCTTGTTCTTCCTTGTTCTTACATGGAAGACTCTTCTTGTGGTTGAGCACAAGGAATGACACTATCAATCTGGACAGAGTCACATTATAGTAATAAACTTAGAGAATAATGGTATTATCTTTTGTTGATAAACAATGGGTCAAAAACTGATAAACATGAACTATTTCCAGCACTGCAAACTAGAACGGTTTCTGGATTTGAAGTTTGACACTATATCTATTTGCACTCAAGACACATTCCTTTATTGGGCTAGTTGAGACATGTTTTTCGTTGGGCAGTGATGGGCTTAGCTAACATGACGACGTATGACTGGTAAGTGGGTTGTATTTGACGGTAGGATGCGTGTCTTGAGGCATCGAACTGTCAGCTCATATCCTGCTTGAGTGATGCATCAAGATTTGTCTTGTGAGCGTGATGGGTTTCTATTTTGGCTACCTGTGAAATTGTAATCAGTAATTGCAAATTGAAACGCCTATAAATGCACTATTCTTAGAAATGCACTATTTCTAAAAGTGCAAACATGAACCTATTTATGAAACTAAAACTACAAATCAGTCATTATTTATTGAAATGCAGGGTGAAATGACTTGATTATAGGTTATTACCTCAATCGGTTTTCCAATGAAGTTGTAACCCAACTCAAACATATCCAACAAAACTCACACACATCCTGGATTTAGCGTTTAGGAGGCAGATTAAACAAAACATAAGTCTACGTTGAAAGAATGGATAGCTCAATTGACTAAGAAAATTTTACTCAAGCATCCTATGTCTTATGTTCAGTTACGCCCTCCCCTATAACACTTCTGACACTTTCGGGCGTGGAAGCCTCGGTGTAATCAAGGCACCAATGCCTTAAACCACTAGCCCTAGTCATGGTGCCGATGCCATGACACTGGCAAGGCCCACATCTCCGCCATACAAGTCAGGAACAGCATAAGCGCAAAGGATGACTGTAATGGCAACAATTGAAGCATATGAGTATAGAACACTGTAACCTTAGTATTTACCCAGTTATGTGAAGTGCGGTGAAAAGGTCCTATAAACACTACGAAAAATTACCTACGACACCAACTTTCGATGCACTCAAGTTAAACAATATTTTGCCAAAGAAACACACAACTCACCATATCAATAATTCGAAAGTGAAGATTCTCATGCTTGAAATTATCATCAGGACTCACTCACATCCTTTTACATGATAAAACAGACACATCAATTCTTAAGATCAGGCATCAAAAAACACAAAATACAGTCGATTATTGCATATATCATAGTGTTTCTCTCCCTGTTCATGATCTATCTACAGTAACATACCAATTATCATTCCTAAAAAGTTTCGAGGCACAATGAAAATGATGCACAAGACATAATGCTGATATGCTCTTCCCCCATTTAACCACAGCAGGAACCACAGGCGGGTACAGCACCTGCGAGTTCAACAGAAAGCAGTATTAACGAGAATTAAAAAGAAAAGAAAATCAAACAATGGAGAGAGAGAGGGGAGAGAGAGATGATGATGATAATTAACTTACTATGGTCAATTCCACGGACATTGTCTAGTCCCCGAGGTGGCCCGCGTGGACGGCCACCATATGGCCCTCCAGGGCCTCCGGGGCCACCGCCATCCCATTTCTTTCCAGAAGCAGATCCTTTTTTGTAAGCATCGGACTTTTCCATCTATACAATTAAATATTACGAGCATAAGTTTCTAGTAGACAAAATTAATTTGATACTTCCAAAAGTAAGATACTGTTTTACAGAGCAGAGAACAGGACAACTCTTATTCTTACCGAGAACATTGTAGCAAAAAACACGCCTATCAAGTTGACAATGGCCCAGAAGAAATCAGTTATCGTCTTGAGTCGCCAAATGGATCGCTTGGATTTCACAACACCTAAACAAACAAGTATGCAAATTACCACCTGGTCAGCTCCATAATCATGACACAAGAGTATCAATCGTCTAACATTTCCCAACATCATTTAGATATAGGATATTTGTTATTATCAAATATAAAAACTGGGAAACACACAAAACACCTAATTCCCGATGCCATCTAATTGCATTATCTGACTTAAATTAGTAACCCAGTCTCAACAATAGATCATGCATATGATAATTTCAATTTTATCAGACTGGGCTAAAAAATCATTGCTGTCTCTTGGACTGGTTTCTCGTGGCCACTACAGATTAGAACAATAGGTGTAGGTGCTACTTAGCCCTAAATTAGTAGAAGCAGCTGAGCTCGCAACTAACCAAGCAAACATGGATCAGTAAACCAGCTAAGTCACGCTCATTAAGGAGCATTAAGCATCAGTGCTTCCAACAAAACAAGTCATATTGTAACGCGGTTAAGGACAGACAGAGAGCTTGCTTCATAATATTTTCAATGAAAGACTTGAAATGAGTACTTCTTTGGGTGAGTTGAGTAACACAGAAGAGTGTAGTAGTGGAACCGACGACATATGAAGTGTGGAAAGTCTTGGAGAGTCGGGTATAGCATGGCTTACAAACCTTTTCAATAAGATTTTGAAAACAAAAAAGATGCCAAATGAGTGGCGGAAAAGCACATTGGTGCCAACCTACAAGAATAAGGGAGACAAATAAAATGCATGAACCATAAGGGTTTTAAGTTAATGAGACATACAATGAAGCTTTGGGAGACATAATGAGTATAGACAATCAATTCAGGTTCATGCCAGGATAGTTGACTACAAAGACATACAAAATTGCATCAACACATGCAAAAAAAAGTGTAGCGGAGATGAAAATGCTTTGTTGAATGTGTGGCCACATGAGAAATGACAGGATTAAGAATCATGATATTCGAGGTAAGGTAGGAGTGGCCACAATTAAAGATAAGATGAGAGAAAAGCAGTTAAGGTGGTTTGCACATGTAAGCACAAGAGCTATAGATGCTCTGGTTTGAAAATGTGACTATGAGACAAAGGCTTCGGCAAAAGGGGTAAAGGAAAACCTAAGAAAACTTGAAAAGAGACTCTAAAAGAGACATGGAGTACTTAAAGCTAACAAAAGAATGGATGCAAAACTGGGCAGAACGGCGTACTAAGATTCTTATAGCCGAACCCACTTAGTAGAATAAGGCTTTGTTTGTTGTTGTTTTTGTGGTAAAATAATGTTGGTTTCATTGGATTGAACCTTGGAATGGAATGCTGGTTATTTGTATACATGGAATGTCCCGTCCCCAAAAATAATGCATAATGTCAATTACATTCCTCATTGATTTTCAATTTTCATGCTTTACGAGTTAACTCTCTTCAAGTTTCAATTTTAGTTCAATTTCATCATTCACAACTTGATTTCATTTCATAAACCAAACACTACCCAAAGCAGAGTTACGGCATTAAGGCCCAAAAGAAACTTGACAAAATAGAAAGCAAAAAAATACCCCGTACTCAAAATCCAACATAGGCATAAATAACATGAAAGATAGATAGGTACTGCATAGGAATTTTCCAAAAAGCAATAGAACCAAAAAAAACAAAATGGTCATTCCAAGCTGAGCTCATCTTCACTTGTCATCCATAATATTCATAGTAGAACCAAAAAAAGCATAGCCAAAGAAACAAATATAAACGCCACAAAAATCACACAAACGTTCTTTATGCTAGCCCTTCAATCAAGTTGGAGCACATCTAATTGACTAAGGCCTGGTTTGGTGTGATTCTGAAAAAAGCTGGTATCAAAAAAACTGGGAGTTGTTTTTGTGTTTGGTAAACATTCAGCTTCAGCTTTTTTTCACAATTTTGGACTGAAAAAAGTCAAAAACAAGAGGCTGCAAAATCCAACTTTGAAAAATCGGCTTTTTTCACATCTGTTTTACATAAAAGTTTACCAAACACTATAATACTGCCCCATTTTTTCAAAAGCCCTTTTACAAAAAGGTTTACCAAACTCTCTGCTGCTTTATTTCACAGTTGCTTATTCTCACAGCACAACAGAAGCTGTTTTTTTTCAAAGCAAAGCAATACCAAACCAGACCTATTGTTGTTAGCTACGCAAAACACAAACTCTTTAACAAGGCAAGTATCGCAAATTATAGAAAATAAAAATCCCCTTCAAAAGAAGACACAAACAACAAAATTGAACCCCTAATTACAACATTGAAAAGTCAAGAAATTAGGATCCCAAATTAAACAAAAAAACCAAGTTCCAAAACCTCCAAAATGATCATCTGTATCAAGATTAATAGTACAAAAGAATTACCAAAATAGATTAAAAGAAAAAAAACAGATTTCATCCTGATAATTTCAGAAAATTAAAGATAAAAAACAAAGATTGACAAACTTGGAACCCAGAAAGCTATTCAAAAGAAACACATAATTTAACGATATTTGCTGATCAAGCCGCAATTTCAAATTCTAGCAACAAACCCTAGCTTCCGAAATCGATAAAATTACCCAACATTTGCAAAATAAATTTACGAAATTACAATAAAGGCGCAGAGAGAGAACCTCGCTCGACGTACGCCATGGAGATCAGAATCCAAAATCTAGAGTCGTCGAAGCTCTTCTTCTTTGAACGGATCCTGCAATTTATATTTGTTTACTTTTTGGTTGGAAAATTCGGCAATTTATATAACCCAATTATTTTTTGCCTTCACCAATTTTAGTATTTTACAAGTCATCTCAATTTTCATTGGCTGCAGGAACGTCAGTTTTGAGGTATTATGCACGTGGCACGGATTTATTGGTTGAGGCTTGGGTGTTAAACGTGGCCTCGTTACGACTCATGTGGGAGAAGGGGCTATAAGCCTATATTAAACGATTTCTCCGTCAAATGATAATTTGTCCGATAATATATGTTATGTATAAATTTTTAAGTTTATTTGGATGTGTTTTTTAAATGTTTAAAAGTAATTTTAGTTAAATTGATTTTGAGTACCAAAAGTACCAAATATATTTTTCTTACAGAAAGCATTTAAAGTGTTTTTTTAGGATTCACTTGAATTTTTATTAAGAATTGGTATCAAAATCATTTTCACCAAAAGTATTTTTAATCATTTTAAAAACGCATCCAAACGAACTAGTAATGTATTAATGAATAGGGTTGTCATGCAACAGTGAATTTGTTGCATATATCTGGCTGTAAAGTGTTAACATGATATTAAGAGCCATTTGGCTAAATGGCATTTTTAGTATTTAAAACATCCCTAATGAACGATAGAAAATGCTGATATGTATGTTCATTTTATACTTTGTAGTCGAAAAGTTTTCTTGTATATGGTATGTAAACTACTCATTTTGACCAGAATATACTAATATATTAATAAAAATGAAAATATACATTGATTGTTGCATATTCTTTATCAATATAGAACAGTTTCGACCAAGAATGGGCTAATCCAAGTTGGAAAAACACAATCCTCTGCCCACTAATGATCCCTCAGGCCTGTGGGCTTTCAGTCCAAGAAAGGGATGATTCAACCGAGTCTTCACGAAAGTAGAACTATGAAATGATTAAGTTCAGATGTGGTTCGGTTGAGTCTTAAGTAATCTAAAATTGTCAATGATCAGAATGAATGTGAACTATTCTACAGATCATAATTCATTCTTAATCAAATAAGAATGAACTAATTGCATAAAGTGATTAAGTTTAGAATCCTAGTTCGAATCAAAGAGGTCGAGACAAGATGATGATGAAGATTTGTCTAAGAAAGGAATTAAATAGATAAAGGGAGAGAGTATTAAGGTAAATGCTAAGCAAACATAGTCCTATCAAAACTTTACCTAGGCATGCTTGTTTATCATGAAAATCATCCTTATAAATTATAGATAGAAGAGATTTTACTATATGAAAAGTCTCCTTAACTTAAAAAACAATATAAAACGCTCTACGCGAAAACCTCGCTCTACAAGAAAACCTTCTCACACCCCTAGGAAAAACACTAACTATCATCACCATCATGTCAATACATCTTTAGTGTCGATAAGTCAACAACACTTTATTGACAACCAGCGATACCTTCAGTTTGGATACATAAATTGCACTGAAGTCGTAAAATCAAGCATCATAGGAGCAACTTTAGTTTGGAGAAGTAAACAACATTTCTCCTAGGTTGGTTGGTTATCTATCCATGTCTCGGTGGCGCGAAAAGTTTCTATTTCTTTCACCTAAAAAGGTCACCACCCCTACATTTATTCTACTCATCCGACCGAGCTTGGTTGCAAGTTAGCACACCTACATTCACAAGAAGAACGTAGTTAGATCTAGTTACTCGATATGCATGCTACGTTGGCTTTGTATTTTTATGGTCAACATTTTGACATGCTCAGTGAGACCAGTGGTATGATAATGACAAAATTCATGACCATCGAAACTCGCACTGCCAAGAAGAAAATGGCGATGGGGAAATCATCTACACATTAGGCCCCTACAAAGTAAGGCCACGAGGTAACCAAACACTTAGGCCTCGTTTGATACACCACAAAACTCACCAAATAAGACTAATAATACAGAACCCAAGACTCTCGATCAAATATTCCTGCCCCACTTGTTTTATATGGTAAGCACCCAATTACTTATCCTCTCCAAAACCACGATATTATATAGTCGGGTCTCGCTCACTGCGTCCTCTCGTCGCGCTCTCCCTGCCTCTCCCGCTTGCTCTCTCGTCAGAATCCCAAGTTCGTCTTCTCTTACTCTTTCTTCTACTTTGTCTTAATCCCAGGTTCTTCTTCTCCTACTCCTCCTCCTCCTCCTTCTTCTTCCCAGGTTTCGCCCCCTCCTTCTATTCTTCCCTTCTCCTTCTGTTTTTACTGCAATTTTCTTTCAATTGATTGAATCTAGTTATTGTTTTCTTTCTAATTTTGCAACTGATTTATATAATTTTGTGTCTTAATTAGAATTTTCGAATTTTAGGGTTTATTGTTGGGTTTGAAATTTAGGGTTTGTTGTAAGTCAAGTTCTGAACCATTTGGTACAACATCCAACTGAATCATCCATCGTAATAACAAATGAACATGAATGTCGAACATGAATGTCAAAGTTTGTATAGTTTTGTTGCATTGTATAATATCCCTCTGTTTCAGCTAAAAGCAGATTGTGATTCTGAATTCAAGTTTGAACTTCCAATGTTGTCCACAGAAAACAAAACACATTAATTTCACCATTTTATGTCTCCCATTCTGAAGACTAGGAAATTCTAATTCTTAAATCCACATTAGTGATCTTTATAAGTGAAAAATATACTTCAATACATCAAAATTAGACAGCAAGATAATTAGCCAATAACCATATATTCATGGCCAGACAGCAAGATAATTAGACAATAACCATGTATTCTTGTATCCTACGAATGTTTAATCTTGTTTACATTCTTGCTTTAACTGCCTAACAATCATGTCTTCTTGTATCCTTCTTGTGTCATTACTTACATTTATCCAATGATTTATTTATTTGCCAACATCTAATAAAGTTATTTTATATTTTCACTAGACATGGATGAAAGAAAGATTGTGGCTGCTTCATTGATAAGTTGTGATACTTGAATAGTGTGACTTGGTTGATGATGTGGTTTATGATCAATCATAATTCTGCTAGAAGGCGGAATTGGAAACTTGCACTTAGAAATTACACATTTGTCAAGAGAATGGTAGTGTCAGCCTATTTAGACAATATAATAGGACATGATGATGTTCACTGTGTGAACCAAATCAGATGCTTAGTGACCACGGTAAGAGTCGAATTGGATGGTGTAGTGACAATGGAAGAACGAGTTTGCATGTTTTTGCATATATTTGCACATCATGTAAAGAATCGCACAATTGGGAGTAGGTTCTGTCTGTCAAGGAGACCATAAGTAGGTATTTCAATTCAATTTTACATGGAGTGTTAAGTCTACAAGGTAGACTTTTGAAAGTGTGAGAACCCGTTCCTAATGCCTACATCGATCCTAAATGGAATTGGTTAGATAGCTTGCTTAAGATGCGCCACATGTGAAGTCAAACAGCCACATGCGCTCCACGTCACCCATTGTGTTGTCCACGTGTTAGGCTTGAAAATTCACCACACGTGAAGGGGCGTGTTGAGAATAACCTCACGTTGATGGAAAAAGCGACCTTGCATGAGCTTATAAGTAAGTTGGGCTACTATTGCAAAATGGTTTTATGGTGGAACCACAATTTCCTTTACTAACATGGTGAATAACCAAATTCCAACTTAAATGAAATCTTTAGGATGGATGAATGTAATTTAGGAGGCTTAATGAAATGACATCAATTGATCAAATGGTGGACTTTAGAATTGACAGAGATCATGAATTCTCACTATTTCTTGGATTCATGAACCAAATCAAGTCAATGGGATATTTTATTCAAGAATGTTACATAAAACTCTATTGAATTTCTACTACTTGCTATGGTGCAGTGATATTCTCTCCACTTGTAAGTGAAAGATCTTGGGTTTGAATCTTGTAAATAGTAAGGTCAATACCAATTTTATTCACCAGCATCCTACTTTCACGCAATTCTCATAAACATGGTTCAATTATCAATCAATATGTCACAATCAAGGTTTCTTGTAAGAAGAACTAGTTAATAATGGAAACTTCCTTAATGGTTCACTCATAACAGAAAATTTCCTGTAAGATGAACTAATAAGTCTTAGAACTTCTGCATGACACATAAGATGTTCGTTGATGATGAAAAATATCTATTACAAAAGAAGTAATTAATATTCCCAAGAATACGACCAAGTGAAAGATATTGCTTATGGATGCAGTACAATGATTGTTCAGCAAAAGGAACCCCATAGGATCCAGTGTCCTTGTTTAGGATATGTATTGTTCTTTGTCCTAGGAGTCGAGGACTCCTCAGTCACAGGTCACAACCAGTAATTGGATGCACCAAAGAATTTGGTGAAGCAGTTTGTAGGACATTGATAGCCCATCTGTCCATATCCTCCCATGCTTCCAATATCTTACTTTCTGTTTCCCAGTCCCATATGTCCTTGAATTTGGAGTTTCTACCTCCTGAGATAAAATTTAATTTACCGCAACAGTAAGATCCCAAACCAACAAGGTCATTTGAAAGTAACGAAGCGAAAAATAAAAAAAAAACCGTTGGTAAAAGGAAATAATTTTTAGCTCAAGATTTAGAACAACTGCATAGGATGCATCATCATCATCAACGAACATCTTATATGTAGCTGTCGGAAACATGTACATACCTCCCGGGGGAAGGACAACAGGGGCTTCTGACTCATTAACTTGCAGAGGAAGATATTGTTTCATGACCGAAAGTGCTGTTTCAATGTCAAGATAGCCTACGTCCACCATCCTCTTCAATACTCTGGCTTGGAAAGTTTTTCCTCTATGACATAGTAGAAGTTTGCTTTAACTTGTATTAAACTACTGACCGGAAAACAATTGCAATACTTTGCAGTTGTGGAGCTACCATGGGTAGTAGCACAAAGAACAAAGCTAAAAAAGAACCAAAACAATAACAGAAATGACAAACCTGGAAGGATCTCTGAGTGGCGATCGAAGTTCTGGGGCAGGTATTAATCCGGCAAGCATTGAGGACTCCCCCAAACTTAGACAAGATGGATGCTTACCAAAATAAAATGCAGATGCTGATTCAACGCCATAAATTCCATGTCCCCAGTATATCTGTCGTACACCCTAGCTCTGTTATGTATAATGTGCGGTCCGGATTCAGTAATATCTATACAATGTATCTATGTGTAACGTATTCTATATGCATATGTCTTTCTCATGAAGTGCCTTGCACATTCGTCACTAGTAATCTCTTCACATGTACAGATCTCTTTCCTACCTAGCATACAACAACCCAACCAAAAACGGACCTCACCAAAATTGCACCTAATAACCAACCATCTGGACTTGTAGTGAGTTCAAAAGTAGTACAGAGAAATGCCATCCCTGATAGATAGATAAACTTGTATACTTATGGATAAAGAATATTAAACACAATTAACATATAGGCATGTCAGAGAGATATGTTCAGTGATCCGATAAATGACAAGTATGTCTGACCTTACTCATATAGCAGCTCAATATTTCCCCCTTTGACATTGTCCTCTCCAATGCTAGTGACAACACCATCTCAACCAATTTTCTTGAGAATGTGCGTTCATTTTTAAGGAAAGTATTTTTCACCAGCTGCCATGTGAGATTAGAACAAGAAGAATATACAGAATCATTAGTTGAGAAAGTGAACGACAGTTGAATCATATGAATACCGAAAACCAAATGAATTCTTCTTAGTTATAAAGGGTGTTCAATCATAACAAACATCAAAAGAAACCTTCTAGTTCTTACAATGTAAATCACAAACAGGCAAATAGTGAGCAGAGGAAAGATGAGGTTTGTTAATAGAAAATATAAATACCATGAGTGAAATTGCACAATCATATCTCTGACTGCATAACAAACCAAGTGAGAAGAAAACTCAGGCGAACAGGTGGGGAAAATTAGCATATCATAAATAACATTTATGGCAACATACTAAATAGAAAGGATACATCTTATTTCCATACAATTAACTCTTATTACTTACTCAAACAACTCTTTACACAAACCGCACAAATAACAGTCATTCGCAGACTTTGGACCTTGTGGAATGTAAGAACAAACATTTAATTCCCGTTCACAATTCAACTATACACAAGCTGCTTAACTAAAACACTATCTTGGGCCTGAAACCTGCTGTGAAGAGACGTAAGAGAAGAAAGTACGCGAGTCCATTGTTGCTGTTGAAGCATACGCTTCTGGATACAACACTCTCTCATTTTGATCAGTTCCCTCATCTATCATAGAAGCCTCAGTGAACCCACGCCCAATAAAGCGCAAGAAATTCAATGATTCCAAATTTGGCTGACCTAAAGGGATCTCACCTTCCAGCATGCCAACAACCGTATTCATACTCGGCCTGAGTGTTGGATCCTCCTGAACACAGCACAATGCAACACGCACAAACTTCTCCACTTCTTCACTTGTCACCCGTCCCTCCAATCTCAAGTCAACAAGCTCCAAGTACCTCCCCTGCTCATGCATCTCCAGTGCAAATAGAGGAAAATAAACAAGTAATGACACAGATGATGATGATGACTGACCGCCACCACTCCCACTGTTATTCAGGCTATGGCTTTGCAGTCGTAATGTATTTTTCCTTCCACTCACAAGTTCAAGAAGTACCATTCCAAAACTATAGACATCAGCTTTTTCCGAGATTGCAGAATTAGTTAGCCATTCTGGTGCAAGATAACCCCGCGTGCCTCTCATAGTTGTAAACAGACTAGACTGTTCAGGAGTTAAAAGCTTTGAAAGACCAAAATCTGAGATCTTTGCCTGAAATTGGTCATGCAAGAGAATGTTCTCTGGCTTGACATCACAGTGGATTATCTTCTGTTCGCATCCACTGTGCAGGTATGCAAGCCCACGTGCTGTCCCTAGTGCTATGTCAAGCCTCTCTTGCCATTCTAAGACTGGTCCAGTGCCAAAAAGACTCCGGTCAAGTGAGCCACGATTCATATACTCATAAACCAGAAGGCGTTGTCTCCCTTGGGCACAAAACCCTTTCAATTTGACCAAATTGGCATGGTGAATATTACCAATTATTGCAATCTCGGTGCAGAAATCCTTTTTCCCTTGAACACCTAAATTCATTATCTTCTTTACAGCCACAACAGTTTTATCAGGTAGAATAGCCATATACACGGCACCAAACCCACCTGAACCGATCAGGGTCTTGAAACCATCTGTAGCCACTTCAAGTTCTTCAAGATCAAACCTCCTAGGTAAACCGGGGATGTAGAAAGCATCCATATCTCCTGAGGAAAGTGACCCAAAATGCCCCAATTTTATGTCTCTTTTCTTTGACTGTCCCCGTCTTCCCCACAAGAGGAAACCTAGAGCTACCAACAGAAAGAACCCACTGAATGGCAAAAGCACCAGAGCAACTACAGGAAACTTTTTTCTACTAGGATTCTTATTATCACTGAAGTTTGATGGAGTAGATCCAACAAGAGCTTTGATGTAGCCCAACCGGTCATTTGCACTTTCACTCACAAAAATGGAACCCAAAACATCTTTAAGTGTATAGCAAGAACCAGATGAACTTCCATAGAAAATTCCCAAGCAAGAGCAGTCTTTTGAGCAGAGATCTTGACAGGTTGACAAATTGACACCATATCTTACAGGATCAAAGAAAATATTGGAAAAATAATCTGTACCGTAGTCAAGCCTGAAATATGAGACGGCTGGTGAATTTAATTGACTACCATTATCGGTTGAGTTGCAAGGAACCGGCAATGAATAAGAACCACTTGGCACACAACCACCTGTATCTTGTGAACCTACAAGGAAATTTACAGGGCATGAACAACTATGGGTGGTGGATGCAGTACACAAACCAAGTCTGCCACAGACGGATGGAATTTGACAATCACCAGTTGGCGCAACAAATTCTTGCTTCCAGTCTGTACCAGAAAAACTTTGGACAATGAATTTGCCAGAGGAATCCAACTTGGCAATACGAAAGTCAGAGGGTGACAAGAGCACCTGAATCACAACCACTGTTCCATTACGACCAAGCAGTTGAAGACCTGTTCTGTTAATGGCCATGTATTCCACTATAGCGTTTGAGTTTGTATAAGCACTTGTATCCATTGACAATTTCCAATATGTCTGTCCATGCCATTGCAGTATTGCATCAGAACCACTTAGTACGAGCTTGTAATCACCAGTTGAAAAATTCGATAGAGTACTGGACAGAAAAGACCCAACTGGTAAGTGTTGCCCATACACAATCGTATCCCTTGGGTTTTGAAAACTTTCCCAAAGGGAATGATTGAACTGATCAAGAAGGATAAGATTACCCATTTCATTCAGCAATAATGCAGAAACTGATGACTTGAATTGTGGAGTTGACCATACAGGATTACCATCGTCATCTGAGATGCTAATACCTTTAGCCGTAAGATTCATCTCAGCAGAAGCCGAGATGGAAGCATCACGATTAGCAGTCCAGATGATGGTGTTGGATGCCGTATGGATGATGCACAAATAGAAGTTATGTTGATTAGCATCCGGATTGACAATAGCAGCTTTAAATGTTCCATTTCGAGAGGACAAGAAGGCACCGGCGTTGTCAATGAAGTGGAAGTAAGAAGCTGAGAAGTTCGGGTATATGAACTCTGAGAAAGAACCACCGGAGACGAGAATAAAGAGAAGAAAAGGTAGGAAAACGGTAGGGATGAATAAGAAGGACCCCATGCAGGGGTTGGACGGAATGAAGAGCGAAAACAAATAGAGGGTTAGACAAAGGTTTGTTTTGTTGAGGCTGGAAATGGTCTATTCTGGCTATCTCCATGCCTTTTGTCCAATTCTGCTTCTGGGTTTTACACTGGCGTTGACTCTCCCTCTCTCTCTCTCTCTCTCTCTCTCTCTCTCTCTCTCTCTCAACATGTCTCTCTCCACCCACTTGTTCCTAACTGGTAGACAAAATAGATAAAAATCATTTATTCGGTGCCAAGATCAGCTGGGTTTGCAATATATTAAAATCTCAGTGCCGGCCAAACCTCAGCAAGTCCTTATCTAAACTAAGAAGATTGGCGTGTCGTGCATTAACATAATTTTTATATCCTTACCATTTTCACACAATTAGCATTCCAAATTTCTATATTTTATACTCTTCTTACTTCAAAATAAATAAAACACCGTGCATGCCATTACAAGCTGTAATAAAGATTTCGTGCCAATGTGACACCAGAAGCTAAAAAACCATTATTTTTATTCTAACTTGATTGTTCTTTATATAACTATTCCGTTTTCAGACCATGCATTCACGAATCACAACCATCAATCATGCTTTATAAAATATTGTCTACACATACATAACAAATTAATAAAGAAGAACAAAAGGAACCATTTTCTAAAGGGAAAATAGCTACAATAAACAATACATTTGGTTTGCCGATCATTTCCGGTAACTTCGATACATTATTTATATATCAGACGACACAACAATGACATATCGATGACATATTATTATATATCGAAGACACAACAGTGACATGATAACAACATAATGATGATACACAATAAACACATCATTTTTGAAACCAAATATCAAAATATGCTTATTGTAGCTAATAAAAAAGGAGTTAAAAAAATATATTTCTTTGAGTAAAAACGTCGAACACATGCTGTGCGTAAAACGTTCAACAAAGTTGTACCTGCTGGGTAATCGTGCTGCCGCCGCCTAAGGCCGAAAATGACACCACTGCACGAGCAATCCCAACTGGGTCGATCCCAAAATGCCTAAAGAACCTCCTGTCCTCGTAAGCAACAACGGCTTGCCACACATGCAGAGGGTAGGCACTGGTTCTGGCTTCAGCTTTGGGAGCAAACGCCATGAGGCCCTGCCACCGGCGAGGAAACTCCGGCAATAGGACGGCGGAGAAGAGGCGCAGGCAGAGAAGGGCCAGAGAGAAGGCAAATAGGACAAGAATTTCGAGAACGAATTGGGGTTGTGAGGGGCTCGAAGAGGAGCTGTGGGAACGCGGGAGGAGCGAGTTCACTCGGCCGAACAGTGAGTTTGAGTGAGTTGGAGGTCGAAGAGTGAGGTGGGGGAGTGGAGTACTGGGAAATGGAGGTGGGTTTGTGTTGGCTTGTGGATTTGGGTGATTGGTTTTCAGGAATTGGAATGGTTTGGTTGAGAGGAGAAGACGATGAGCAGGATTCAAGGTCGTATTCATCGGTTCGGTAATACAGTTGAGATGATGTGATTTTTTATTCTATTCCCTCCTTTTTTCCTTCGGGTGGTAATACAGATAAAATTGTAAGGAAATTACAATAAAATACCACTAAACCATTAAAACCTCTTGTGCATCTCTCCTTACAATTAACGAACTAAACATTATAATCGGAACTGCTTATTTTCGTTATCATCGTTTAAAGATTGCATGTACCAAAAATTTGAATTTGAAGATCTCTTAGTTATTCATATACATAAAACAAATTGATGATTTATCGTGAGGATACTACTTATTACCATAATCATTGATTGATTTAACGTATGAATAACTAAACGATCTCCAAAATGACGCAAACATTATCCAAACCGTATAAGATACTTCAAAATACCATAACAAATCTATCATTTAAAAAGTTTATCATAAGATAACAATTTTTCCCCTGTATTTAATTAACTCATTTGGCTAATTAGTTCTTGTGTTTTCAATTGGTCAATTTAGTCGTTTAATCATTGTCGAGATCGAGTGTTACTAATTTTGTAGTGCTTGTGTTAGAAGTGTTCTGTTATAAACATGTAAAAAGAAGCGCACTTATAGCGAAGATTTTTTGTTGAAGCTGGAAAAGTAGAAGTCATGTTTCTATCTCTCTATTCTCGATGCCCTTTTTTTAAAAGTACAGAGCAGATGTTTCATTTTTAAGAAAATGTTTTTACTCTTTAAGGTTTTTATGACAACTGATGAGTTATATTATACTATATATTTTATCTTAATCTTAGTATTAATTTATTGGTTATTTTGTGTGAATTTTGATACTTTGAATTATATTTTCAATGTAGAACATTTGACTTCCTCTTGAGCAAAAAGTATTCAAACAGATGAATTTTGAAGTGATTATAATTGGAGGATGTTCATGAGTCTACCAGCTTGATCGTGTCAAAATTTCGGCTTTTTTCTACCAAGTGGTTATTTTATAGCAATGAAATAAAGGAGTAGTACACAATGCTGTCAAAATGACGTTTTGGGCTTATTTGGGCTTTTTGGCGTCCATTATGATATCTTTTGGGTTCGAGGCCTTCTGCAATTATGTTCGGTACATCTCAAACTTTAATTCAAGCCGTTTTGGACCTAATTTGGAGCCTTGATTTCCCAAAGTTAGAATAAGAATGTATTTATTAGTTATTTTATTTTATTATGTTTCCTAGTTTTTAGAAGGCCTTTTCTAGGTAGGTTTTATTTTGTAGTAGTGTATAAATAAGACTATTTAGCCATTAGGGTTTTGAGAAGGGGGAACACAATACTTTGGAGAATTTCAAACCTTTTACCTACAATCATTTTTCTAGTAAATGATATTTTCTTCAGTTTTTTTATGATTGTTCGTAACTAGTCCTTTTGCTAAGGCGAGGCCATGAGTCTTAACATGAATATGTGATTTTATAAATTTGCTTATGAATGGATGCATGCTTGCTTTGAATTATTAATCACCGTGTTTAAACTATTTATTTCTCTTAGTGATTCATGATCATTAAGGTATTTAGACAAGTAATTTAATGCAATTTCTGTTGGAACATCACCCTGAAATTGAGGAGGGCTTCTTGTGATTAGTAATTGTAAGTTCACTTAAGGCGAACATCATGCTCTTAAGGGTTGTATGGTTTTTCAAAGGGTTTTCACAAAGCTTACTGAGTTTTGCATGCTTATATTTGACCTGAACATTACAGATGAGTTGTATGTTAGATATACGTTTTCACTTGAACATCACGAGGAAAATATGCATTAGGAAAACTTGACCTTCAAAGCATGTATGTGGAAATTCATAAGTAATTGGTAATTTCGTAGGATTGTTAATGGTGACAGTGGAATCCTAGTGTTTAAATTGCTTTCCAAAAATGTTTTCTTTTGCTTTCTTTACTTTGCCAATTATTTAATTATTTTTTTAATTCGTTTTATTATTTTAAGTCCTAAAATCAATCCTTTCCAAACTTTGTTTTCAAATAATTAATTAAGATTTAGTATTTACATTAATTATTTATTCAATCCTTGTGAAAAATGACTTTGCTTGAGCTGCTATACTACAATAATTTTGTACTCTTGCAAGTATTTTTTAGTGTTTTTATCCCTATTTGCGCAGGTGGCAAAAATCGTATCAACAACCATAAGTCCTTGAAGCACTTCCAGTGTGGGAAGGCCCCTCATGGCAATTGGCAATTGGCAAGTGAATCCCCTTCACTGAATAGTAACTGCGTTTAATGAACAATAATTACCTTTTGCATCTCCACCCCTAGACTGAATAGTAATGGCAATAGGCAATAAAATATTAGTATTTTTTATTTTATAAAATAATAAAAATAATTTAAATTTAAATTTCGAATAAGATTTTTAACCGATCTCATCACGTCATATGTCATTATGCGAAAGTACAATTTTTATGAATAGATTTCAATAAGATTTTTAACCAATTCCATAGCATGACGCCTATTTAGAATCATTGAAAATATTCAAATGTAGTGTAAGGTGGGAGAAAATGGTAATGTATTTATTAAAAAATATATATATTATTATTTTTAATTTTTTCGGATTTTTAATTAGTTTTAAAAAAGATTATTAACTTAATTAATCTGAACCGTCTGATTACAAAAAATTTGAAATCCAACCGTCTAGAATGAGACACGTGGCCCACCCAAACGTTTCTGATTTTTTTTCTTTTTCTAAAAAATATTTAAAGCTGAAAAAACTGGATCTTTGATCTGGAAATCAAATGGTCCAGATTCAAAGTGACTGAGTGAGGCTGATACATGGGCCACATCATCTGAAAATAGGCTCGAGACGCGCCCCCACATGCGTGTGTTTCCCACGTGCCTGACGCAAATTTTTTTAGAACGTGGCTGATGTCATGATGACGTGAGCCTGATGTCACTTCCCCTCAGGCATTCGAGCCTTGGACTCCCGCCTGCCCTTTTCCATGATCTCCCCCTTAACCCAATAGCCCGAATGAGTTGGAGCTAGTTTAGGGGGCAATTGGATTGGAAATGAAGCCTATCCACCGGACCATTCCCCATGCTGGAAGTGCTCTTATGGATGACAAAGTCCCTTTTTGTACTTTGGATCCACAAGAAATTACTTGATCTCATACATTTGTGACAGTCGCAATGGCAATTCACACAATATAGTTACAAAATAAGTAATAAATCTTGATGAAATGAATAGGAAAAATTACAAGGAAATTGATATTCCTTCCAATGATTGTAAAACATGGAATCAACATTGATCAAGGTTCTGAATTCGAAACATGTTACCCAACATATTAATATTTTTTCACCAAAAAAAAAAAAGGGTATTTTATTGTCTAACATGTGTGTGTCTTTTCCATGTGCAAAATCATATTGCACATTATGTTCTCGTCTAACATACATTGAATTTAACCCAAATGTTTGGTCTAGAGGAAAACGAGTAAATGTTTCAAACTCTTAATTCGAGCTAAAACCCTTACGAATGTATTTATTGAGGCTACCAAATTTATTTTGGTGTACCGTTTTATTCAGAGGTCAAAAATACAATGCCGCATCATATAATATTGAAGTTATATAAAAAGGAAAATTAATCTACTGTCATTATATAGTGGGATATCTCCTATGTTAAAAAAAAAACATACATTGCATCTGTTCACCTTCCCCTGCATCCGGTGGCAGATGCGTGAGATCCAGGCTGTTTGCCCTACACAATCCAGGCTGTTTGCCCTACACAATATACACCATCTTCTTCTCCCATTAAATTGCACACCCAAACGTGAGGTCCAAGTCTGCAACTTGTTCGATTAAATGCCTCAAAAAGGAGGTTGAAGCAAGGCTAAATTAATGATACAAATGCATTGACATTGGTGTTTTTTATTTTAATTGCTAATTTTATTAGCTTATACAAACAAACATTTGAAAACTTGATCAATATTTTATAGCTTCTTCGTCATGTCATGTCCACGCGAATTTTTTTTTTTTTTTTAATCTGTCACTGAATTGCATTATAAATTTGTCACAAAATCATTTGTGCTTTTTATTATTAAGTATACAACAACAACATCAGATCTCATTCATACAATATGAGTTCAAAACATCCGATCTAGCAAAATATATAGAAAATGTCACTAAATCAAATGATCATCGACCAAAAACATGCCTTTTCTTTTTCTTGCAGATATATATATAAGGATGGTTGGCAAGTATGCCTTTGGCTTGCCAAACTACCCTAAATTAGCTAGGTCTTCACACACATAATTGAATTATTATTGAAGGGAGAAAGAGCGTGCGACAATAGAGATAAAGAGAGAGTTGAGGAATTTTTAGGATGCATATTTTTCATCACTTGTGCCTTTATTTATGTTAAAATGGACAAGATTCTTTGCCTTGTAAGTAATACAAACCTAAAGAAATAAGATCTTCTATTATCCTAACAATCTACCAATGATTTAAACAATCACACATGTGCTATAATTGATATCACAACACTCCCCCTTGAGTGTGTAAATACTCAAGTAGTTGCCGTATTAGATCTTCATGGATGATGTAGAAGTAGTTGAAGTCGTCTTGTCTAGTTGGCACAATGAGCAAATGCAAGTCTCAAAACCTAGCT